GAAATGAAATGAAAACAATGTTCTATTTTACACCCATCAAATTGGCATACATTTTAAAATCTAACAATACCCAGTGTTAGAATGTGGAATAATAGGGATTTCACTTCCACTGCTGGTAGGAGTAAAATATCCCACAAACACGTGGAAGGACAATTATGTATTATCTAGTATTCTGCAACGCTGCACTGCTATACACTTTTAATAAAGAATTCCTCTTCAAGATAAAATCCCTGGAAAATCTCCTGCTCTTGTGAACAAGAAAACATAGATAAGAATTTTCACTGCAATGTTGTCTGTAACAGCAAAAAAACTGGAAAAAACTTAATGTCCATTAATAGGAGAATGGATTTTTTTTAAGTGGGGTATATTCATACAGTGGAATACCACATAGCTCTTAAAATTAATAAACTAGAGCTACAAACATCAATATGAGTAACTCTCACAGAAAATGCTGAGTACAAGTTGCAAATGACTGCAAAGAATGATATTATTTTTATGAAGTTTAAAAACATTCAAGACAAGGTGGGAGGGGATAGCTCAGTGGTAGAGCACATGGTTAGCATGCATCAGGTCCTGGGTTCAATCCCCAGTACCTCCATTTAAAAATAAATAAATAAATATAAATAAATAAACCTAACTCCCCTCCCTAATTTTTTTAAAACATGCAAGACAATACATATAGTATATTTGTATGTACAGTATATATTACAAGATTTTATATCTTTTTAGATATAAAATAGATATACTTAAGAGTTTATATCTTTTTAGAGAGTATTTAACTCTTGAGAAGAGGGGGAAAAGAACAGTATGAGGTAGCCACCAAATACAGGTAATAATTTCAACTGTATCTTATATGTTTTCTTAAAAAACAAGAAAGTGTGGCAAAATGTTAGGACTTGACAGAGCTGACAGGAAATGAGTATGTCATATTCTGTACTTTATGCTAAAAATATTTCATAGTTTAAAAAATTATGAAGTAATTAAAATTTGTAACTATTTTAATTAGGACTAGGTATTAGTATTCTGTAAACAAAAGAAAAGTATAGAAAAAAACTGACAGTCATTTTCATCTATAACCAAATTTTTTTTAATTTTAATTTTTTTGAAAAGATTATAACAACGTCATGTGTTCAGGAATTGCCTTAATAAGTACGTACATGTTATAAATTTAAATGCATAAAGTAAATTTTTATTATCAAAATGCTATCAATATCTATTTTTATATTAGGGTTTCTTGTAAAATTTCACTGGAGAAAAGATTCCATGACCAAAACCGCCGCACATGACAAGGCAAAGACTCAGCAATACATGTATTCAAATTTCACTTGGAAAAGACTCCTTTTAAGATGAAAGTTCATACTTCAATCCACTTTGTCAGAAAAGTTTTGTAGAGGTAGAACCTGAGCTCAGCTTTGTAGGACAAAAGCATGTTTATTTTTAGAGAAGCAGATACCAAGGGTTGACGAAAAAAGCAAAAATCTATCAGTGAATAGTAAATGGCACAGAGGCAGAAACTGGAAGAAAGACTGCCTAGCTTGAGTAAGGAGGAAAAAGATATGCAAGTAAGAACTGGAGTTAGAGAGCAGAACAAACATGTCATGACTTGGGAACCAATGTCATGAGACTGGAAAAACTGATACAGAATATAAGGAAATGACTTGCCCTTTTAATACTATCACTAAATCTTCCTATTGGGTTCTGCCCCCATGTTTCACTTTCTCCTTGGAATCTCCTTTAAAAAGGTTGCCCCAACCAGGCTCCACCTCATGAAACTCACACTTAAAAGATAAGACTCAGGACTGGGGTGAGGCGGGGGTGTGTGTGGATTTTTTTTTTTTTCTCAGCACAGCTTCAAAGGAATTTTATTCAACAAAGCAAACAATGAACCCAGATTAGAAGAAATCCACTAAATATTTAAAGAGCTCTAAGGCTCCCATACCTAGCATACACTTCAGGATTTGTAGGTTCTGACTCCGAGAAAAAAAAGGAACTTGCCAGAGTTCCCTACCTCCTAGCCTTTGGCCCGCTTCCATCTAACAAGTCATACACCATTATCAAATCATGAGGGCCTTCCCAGACATCCTGACTCACTACAGCCTTTTCTCAAGGTCTCAGAGTCCGAGAAAAGGATTTCTTCCCCACATGAATGATGTCAGGAAGACTGTTCACCCTCTGGTGAGACCCTGTACTGACCAATGAATGTAGTTTCAACTTTAAAGTTAATTATGAAATGACCATACCATACATACAGTAAGAGGTGATTACTTCCTGCAGGTAAAAATGCCCTCAAGATAGTGGAGAGGGAGGGAGAGAGAGAGAGAGAGAGAAAGATAGAGAGGGAGAGAGGGAGAGAGGGAGAGAGGGAGGGAGGGAGAGACAGGATCATGTCAACACCTTTACAGATAAAGTGTCTGCCTGAAGGTCCTCGTCTTCTCATCATGGAAGATGTTTTAAGTAAAGGAGAATAAAAAGTATCTCATGTATTTCTAGTCTTGTATTAATCATCCTATATTACAGTTATCTTTCTATGCATTATGTGTCCTTCAGGGAACTCGGTCTACTTACTAAATTTGTGTCCCCAGAATTTAACACGATGTCTGATGCACAGTAATCACTCAATGCCTGTTTGCTGAGTGAAAGGTAAACAAAGCTATGACCAAAAAAAAAACAAACGGTAATAAAAATCTGACTGAATCAAAGAGTAGGTGAAAGGGGCAGTGACACTGCACAGGAACATTCCTGCAGACATCTCAAGTTAAATAATGACTTGCTTGTCATATTGCTTAACTACTGTATTTCAAATTAAAAGAGGCTTTAGGTTTTGAAAAATGCAATATATAATTTTTCTTCTATGATAGAAGTTTAAGGCCAATCTGAACTCCTTAGGATTTCACACAACTTTTTCTATTAATTCTAACCACTTGTCTAAAAGAAGTTATAATCAAACTCTGTTTCACCTTTAAACTGCCTTTTGGATACTGATTTGTGATACCTGAATTAACAAATAAGCACTTGAAGTTTTGGTTGGTGGCACTGCCCATGAAATAATCTATACACAGTTGGTTTTTTGTTTTGTTTTGCTTTTTGTCTGAACAGCAGTGCCTCTTTTCCTACAGTGGTACCAGACTGTGATCCACTAAACCATGCAGGGACCTCAGGATCCACTGAGGGTGAGGTTTAGAAAAGCAAAACAGGCAGAGCAACTTGGCTTTTCTACCTGGAAAGTTTTCAATAAGAAAACAATGGGCTTGCAGGCAAGATCTCCCTTGAAGAGTCCCACAGTTTTTAAGTTTGAAAAATCATTTGTCTTACTCTATTTTCTCTTTTGCTTTTTTCTTCCCCCACTATGACAAACTGAAAGTCTTCACTACAGCAAACAAAGGTGCAAGTCTCACTGCAACAAAAGACATTATTATGTGTTCCAAAAGCGGAGGCTGTGAGCCTCATCGTGATGCTTCCCAGATTTACACTAGTCACCTATGTTAAATTACCAAGAGAAAAGTTGAATGAAATTACAGACACACATATTTGAAGGCTATCTTTAAGATATAAAACTTTTTACATTTTGAGGGTGAAAGGGACTTATACATCATATTAGACTTTTGAACACACTTTTGGGATCACATAATATACCAAAACAGGGCACTTCCAGACTTTCCTCATAATTATAAAACTGTAACTATGAAATAGGTGGCTCACTGCTATGATGTGCAGTATTCTGTATGACTCTGGCAATTTTCAGCCATGTGTTTTTTCATTTTACTAAAATCCTAAAACTCTAACTACCTAGTAAGGTACTTACCGCTATAAAAATGTTTATTTAGCCAGCTTGTTTTCACTGTTTTTCTAATGCCCCAAACCATAGTCACTGAGGCATCAGCGGTCTTAAACGACTCCCAGCAAGTAAAATAATCAGTTGTTCTGTACTGTTTTGAGACTCTAGGGTTTTCCTTTCATTGCCTAAGATCACCTTGTAGCACCTGCGCCATCCTTGGATAGACCAACACTTCCAACTACCGTAAATAAATCTTGAATCCGTGCTGTCGGGGCTTGGATGCATTTGTATTTAAGCGAGGTGAAATGGGTTCTTCCTATTGAATTGGGGGAGGGGGAGTCAAGGTGAAGTCTTGAGTTGCCTTACACAGCAGGGTCTCCACTGCTGCATCATCTCCTAAGCGCCGGTGGGGGAGGACGATGGAAGGGAGGGGACACAAGAATAACCCAGCTCTAGAGGAAGGTAGAAGTTTGTGTCATCTACTCCGCAATTGCTTAATTAGTGCAGTCTCCAATGAGCCCCAGGCTCCTCCCTATTCCTGAGCCTGGCGAGGGGAACGGCCCTCTTTCGGGGTCCCCAACCTCAGGTGGGCTGGAGCCACCCCCTTCGCTGCTAGCGACGCGCGGAGATTGCCCCCTAAAAACTCCCGGCTGCCAGGCAGCGGCGCCGCCCCCTTCTCTCTCTTTGCTAGTCTTTCCAGTCCCCGGAATCGCCACCGCCCACTTTCTAGCACGACAAACAGCAGTCTGGGGCCTGGGCCCAGGGCCCAGCACTTACCCACGTCTTGCTCGAAGGGGTTGGCAGTGAACAGAGGCATCTCGCCGGCGCCCGAGCCCTAGTCGCCGCGGTCAGGCTGAGGCTCGGCAGTTGCTCGGGGATGGTGAACCCGCGACAGAGGGTTCCTAGACGGCTCGGCTCCGATCGCGTCCCCGCACTTCCGCCACCGCACCTGCCCCACTCCCGCCTGACGGGCCAGCTCCGAGTCCGCGCTCTGCCCCCAGTTCCTGTCCCCGGGCGAGATCCCGCCAGCCGCGGGCATCTTCTCAGCGTCCCTGTCGCCTCCGCCTGCCTGAAGGAGGCGGTAGCCCTGGTCTGAAAACTTCTGTAGAGGGCAGGCGGCCGCCGCGGCCACCTTCCCATCGCTAGGACCCCGGCAGGCCTTGGAGCGGGGGACCTTCAGGGCCGGAAGTCGTCGCGCCTAGAACCAGGCGACGGAAGGCCCGGAAGCTGCTGTACAGGCGGCAGCTCGGCAGGGGGAGCGGTTGTCTGGGATTCTGTGCTTAGGCCTGCGGGTTCCGACTACCAAATTATCGCTCATTTAGTTCGTTCCTAAACTGTGGGCTAGTCCCTGGCGGCCGTGGAGTCGCGGCTGCGTTCGCGTCACAGTCCCATTGCCCTGGAAACGGATGGAGCCTCAGTGGCTTTGAGAGGCCGCGAAGGCTTTGGCTCGACTCTTGGAGTTTAGGGGGTTGCACTCTCTTCGGAGCCTATACCCGACGGAAATAACCACCCGGAAAACGGTGGTCGAAGTAACTGAGGACTCCTCACTTTTCGCTTTTCGTCGTGCTGTCGCCCTGAAAACACTGCTCCACCCTGGGAATCCAAAGACGAACCGGGCACACTCCTTGCCTTCAAGTTGCTGACAGTTTTATGGGGACAGTGTATGGCATATAAGTGACAGTACATGACGATCCTGCTATACAATTTGGGTCACAAATTCAAATTTCCATAGGATGGCTCCAGGTATTTAAATGAATGTGAAAGTGCAAGCACCCTTCCCGCCTACACACTCCCAAACCCTCTTAACTCTGATTTTTCCATAGCATTTATCGCTTCCTAGTATATAATTTACTTATGTTTTCTGTCTCCTCTCTTAAGAATATAAACTCCATGATCCTTTTTGTTCCCTACCGTATCCCCAGCATCTAAAACTGTCCAGCAAGTAATAGGTACTCCACAGATAACCTTTCAAATCCAACCGAACAGCGCGTATCTAATGATGGCACCTACCAGTCAACTTAAACCATTTGTCGAAGTGCGGGCCCTCCTAGAGCTTCCAGTGTTTCAATAATTTACTAGTAAGAATTACTTAACAATGGGCCAAACAAAACCATTTTACAATCTCTGGTTAAAGACTTGACCTATAAAAGAGAGAACACTTAGACGTGGAATAGTTCAGAAAGGTGGTTTACCGTAAAGATAGGTACACAAGAAGGAAACACTTGCAAGGGGAGGGAGCTGATTTTTTTTTTTTTTTGAACCTAGGATGTTCAATAAGTGTTTGGAGACTTTCTGGATGGATTTGTCTAGGATTAAGGTTTAGCGTTGGAATGGAAAACAAGGCTAGACAGAGAAAAGAGAAAACAGATTGGGAAGAACGTTAAAGAGCAAGGTAAGAAATTTTAATTTTAGCATATAAGGCATTAGACAATCATTCCAAGATTTTGACCAGCAGAGTAGTACATGAAAAAGAGTGTCCCAGATACTAATCCGACATCAGTGTGCATGATATAAAGAAGCAGATCAAGCAGCAGAATACTATTGTAGGAGACTATTGCAGTACTTGAAAGCTATAAGAAGAGATATTGCAGTACTTGAAAGCTATAAGAAGAGATATTGCAGAGGAGATTGTATTGAGATATGAGTAAAGGGCTGAGGATTCACCTTTGGATTTATTCACATTTTAAACAGACTCCTTTAGCTCCTCCCCATCTTTAATAGCAAGTGTACTCTAGAATCTATAGGTATTTCCTTTTCTGTGTGTGTCCTCAGTTTCTTGGTGAGTTCCTCCAATTAACAAAAAATTTAATAGTCACTAAGAGCCAGACCCTGTGTTAGAAACAAGAGGATACAAAGATTGTTCATTGCTACTTCACCTAATGAAGTTATTGAAGAATTAAAATATATGTCAGTGGCAGCACACAAATTCTGGTGTGCAAAAAATGCAACTTTTTCTTTTTAAACATTTCTTTTTCTTTTTAAACACCATTCAACTCCAGCTCAAAAGAGATTTTTTTTTAATTTACTTATTTTTTAATTGAAGTGTAGTTGCTTTACAATGTTAGTTTCAGGTGTACAGCAAAGCAATTCAGATATACATATACATACATACATATATATATATATATAAATTTTCAGATTCTTTTCCAGTACAGCTCATTACAAGAAATTGAATATAGATCCCTGTGCTATACAGTAAGTCCTTGTTGTTTATCTGTTTTATATTTAGTAATGTCTATCTGTTAACAAGTTTGGGGTTCGGAGGAACAAGCCACCTGTTCTCTTTGGTTGGCCCTGCAGTAAACCTTTCTCTGCTCCGGACTCCAATATTTCAGTTTGTTTGGCTTCAGTGTGTGACGGGCATATGAACTTGTGTTCAGTAGCAATGACCCCGTAAGTCTTTATTTCTCCCAGTAAGGGAGGCTTTTTTCTCTAAAGACATCATATGGGCTACCCTAGCCCTGCACACAAAAGCAACCTAGTTATCCTGAAATACCACCTTTTTGGGTTTTTTTCCCTTACTTGAGAACCTACTGGATTTTGCCTGCCACAAAAATTTCAATCTGGGCTGTCATTGTCTCTGGTAAATAACTTATTTTTGCCTACCCAGTAACCTTATTTTCCATGGCTTAAAGCATCAGTTTTTGAAGTCAGATGAAATTTCAAATCATGGGCCTGCCACTGACTATGTGACTTTGGGAAAATATTTAAGTTCTAGGAACTTCAGTTTTCTTATAAGTATATACTTCATAAGTTTGCTATGAAGATTAAATGGGATCATGAGAGAGTTTATATAGTAAGTGCTCAGTCGCACTTATTATAGCTTTTACAAAAGAACTTTTTGCAATTATAGATGTGTTTTATATTTGCATGGTTCAGTATAGTAGCCACCGGCCATCTTTGGATGTCAATCACGGGAAAAGTAGCTAGTGCAACTGAAGAACTGAATTTTAAATTTCATTTCATTTTAATTCATTTAAACTTTAATAGCCACACATAGCTGGTGACTAGCAGTTAAGAAAAAGCAGCACTAGTCAATAATGTGAAAATCAGTTGAAGGAAATAGAAGTCTCTTTTGTCTGTATTACTTGTGCCTCATGATACTTCACTTTCCAAAAATGCATGCTTTCTTCTTTCACCTATCTTCATCTTTTGCCTCTTTTCATTTTTCGCATCAGGAAATTTAAGATCCAATTCAAGACTCATCTTCTACAGAAGGATTCCTCAGTTGGTCCCAATTCACATCTTCCTCTTCTCTAAGACTTTTATTGAACAGATGGGTCACCATTGCACTACTCAGCACTTAATACTCATCTAACCTATCTTGTGTGACAGTTTTAACTCCCCAGGAGCACAATATCTATGTGGTTTTTAATTCTGTGCCCCTCCAAAGCAATTAGCCCATTATTTGTAAACACTGCATTATGGACTGAATGTTTGTGGCCTCCCCCTAAATTCATATGTTGAACTCTAGCCCCTAATGTGATGAGATTTGGAGGTGGGGCCACTGGGAAATAATTAGGTCATGAGAGTGCAGCCCTCACTAATGAGATTAGTGCCCTTATAAGAAGAGGCCAGAGAGTCTAAACCACTCTCTTTCTGCCACATGAGGATATAGTGAAAAGTTAGCAATCTGTAATCCAGAAGACCCTCATCAGAACCTGACCATGCTATACTGGCTCTCTGATCCCAGACTTCCAGCCTCCAGAACTGTGAGAGATGTTTCTGTGGTTTGTAAGCCTGGACCCAGTATCTGGTACTTTGTAATAGCAACCTGAACTAAGATGCACTATGTTTGATGATCTCTTGTCCTCTGTGATTCACTCCTCTCACTTTCCAATCCTCACCACCAAGTTGGCCGAAAGAACAAAGAAGTGCCCAAATATCCAATAAAACACTTACACTTTTTTCTACCTTTGTGTTACTTTATCTTCCCCACTTCTACACAATTAAAGCGTTTTTCAGGTACATTACACTTTTCCCATTTAATTTAGTAAACACTGGGTGCCTACTAGTTGCAAAATACTAGTGGTAGGGGCAAGAGTTCATGATGGGGGCCATGAAAATTATATAACTGCTCTCAAATGAGTTATATTCGGGAAGAGGAGAGTAATTTTTGAAAATGATTGATTAATGCAAGAGAATACATAAGAAAAAAATAGGGAAATACCAAGTGTTGGCAGAATATAGACCCATGATATTTTGGTATGTAGCTATTTAAAATGTTTTAGTTAACTAATTGATGGTAGTTAGCCCAACAAATTTGGTGTTTGGAGTGCTTCTGAGTATAACTGAGAAATTTTATCTTGAACTAAACTCCACAAATTGGATAGATTGAATCCTCAGCAAAATAAAAAGAGAACCTATGGACAATATAGAAAAAAATCATTTTGGAAATCAGCTTATGAAAAAAATAACATGGATCAACTGTACTTCAATATAAATAAGTAAATAATAAACAAACAAATAAATTTTAAAAATGAAATTGTGTCACTAGAAAAAAAATTTAAGCCAAGAAAAGAAAAAGATAATATGGAAAAGTAAAGGATAAATAAATGATAATGACATTAGAAGATACTTTTAAGAGGATTGGAGAAGAAAAAGTTGTACAAATTCTGGAAGTTCTATATATGCACACGTGTGTATGTTTTTTAAAGAAAAATACTGAGAGCAGGTTTATCCTAAAAGCCCATGGTTACAAAGGCTTAGCTTCAAGGACTCCTAGCAGAATTGGTTGATTCTATTCAGTAACACTGTTTAGTCAAAATACAACTGAAGAGTGTTATAATGTTGCTACACCAAAAATTAGTTTAATTTTCACTTCATAATTCACTTAAAACTGGAAAATTATTTATTTTTCCCTTTAACAGCTTCATTACTACGCTCTGCACAGTAGGTGGCGGCATTGCTTCATGCCCTTAACTACAAAATATTATAGGCAAACGAAACAAACTTCAGGGACCCAATTTGGCCAAATTTAAGGAATTGCCCTTTCTATCTACCTTAAAAAGTCATATGAATAATACTTCATTATAATATACCAAATTTGTATATGTTCTACATTAATAATTTTAAAAATATATTTGTTGGCTAATTCATTCTGCCAATAAATATCAATGAACCAGAATGTGCTGTTTTAAAAATTAATACTTACTCTCATCTAAAGAATGTAATTAATTATCTCCTTTTTAGTTTTAATGTAAAAATAATATTTATTTATACTTAATTTCACGTGTGCTGGTCATTTGACAACGTTCAGCATGCCTACAATGACAGAACTCCATGAATCTCTGCAGAGGTACAGTCAGAAGGCAGTTATCTGGGCTGGGCACTAAAGACAGGTAAAACCTCAACACACATTTGAGATTTAAAACACCACTTTTAGCAAAAATAAACAGGTCGGTCCTAATCAAACTTATAAGCTTTTACAGAGCAAAGGAAACCATAAACAAAATGAAAAGACAACCTACAGACGGGGAGAAAATATTTGCAAATAATGCGACAGACAAGGGCTTAATTTCCAAAACTTACAAACAGCTCACATAGTTCAATATCAAAAACAACAACAACAACCTCAAAAACCTCAATCAAAAAATGGGCAGAAGACTTAAATAGACATTTCTCCAAAGAAGACATACAGATGACCAACAGGCGCATGAAAATATGCTCAACTTCACTAATTATTAGAGACATGCAAATCAAAACTACAATGTGGTATCACCTCTCAGCAGTCAAACTAGCCATCAAGAAGTCTACAAATAATATATGCTGGAGAGGATGTGGAGAAAAGAGAACCCTCCTACACTGTTGGTGGGAATGTAATTTGGTGCAACCACTATGGAAAACATTATAGAAGTTCCTTAAAACACTAAAAATAGACTTACCATATGATCTAGCAATTCTACCCCTGAGCATATGTCCAGAGAAACATCTAATTCGAAAAGATACATGCACCCCAATATTCATAGTAGCACTTTTTACAATAGCCAAGACATGGAAGCAACCTAAATGTTCATCAACAGATGAATGGATAAAGAAGATGTGGTATATATATAGAAATACTACTCAGCCATAAAACAGAATGAAATAATGTCATATGCAGCAACATGAATGGACCTAGAGATTATCATACTAAGTAAGTCAGAAAGAGAAAGACAAATATAGAACATCACTTATATATGAATTCTAAAGTATGATACAAATGAACTTATTTAGAAAATAGAAACAGACTCACAGACAGAAAACAAACTTAAAGTTACCAATGGGGAGGGATAATTAGTTTAGGATTAGCAGATGAAAGCTATTTTATAGAAAATATCTATAAAACAACAAAGTCTTACTTTATAGCACAGGGAACTATATTCAATATCCTGTAATAAACCATAATGGAAAAGAGTATGAGAAAGTATATATATATATATATATATACACACACACACACACATATATGTATATGTACATGTGTATATATATATATATATATCTGAATCACTG